GCCTCACAGCCATGGCTGGCTTGAGGAGTTTCATCGATGGCCTCCAACCTACTAGCAACGACCTCCAACCTAAGAGCAATGGCCTCCAACCTATGGGTCTCGCTGTGGGTGAAAAGTTTCAAAGCCAGAAAGGACATTCTGTGACTTTGCTTTGTTGGTCCAACCTCAAGGCAAAACGTCTAGACACGCTTGCATTTGGGACATCTCAATCTTATGGATGTTTAGAATGTCCACTTGGAGGTCAGAGCTTGCAAGACGCAGCCAGTACATTTGCTTAAGCTAACCAACCATATACTTCTTTTCATTCTCAACAAGCTGACGGACCGTATGCCATCCAATCCCTCATACCCACCCATTCAGCTGCCTTGTTGTTCTCGACAAACAGCTCATAGGACCCAAAGAAGCCTGGTCAGCGCTCACCGATCGCTCATCCGGTTGGCACATGGAACAACCACATCGATGCATCAAGGAGAGCATAAAACATCGATACATAGATCTCCTGTCTCATCCGCGAATTTTCGGACGGAGTGTGACTCTTCTCACGACCCCCCCCAAAAACGCAAAGATCTGCCCGAAACTTGTAAAGAAACCCACGTACGAGCACTCACCAAATCGCCCAACCTTTGATCAAGACCCGCACCACGTTCGCGGTGCCAAAGAAATCCGTTCCACCCGACCCGTTCGCGGTGCCTGCGACTCCCTCGGGCACCGAATAGATCGTCTGCACGGCACTCCCACAGCAGCCCATGGCGGAACGAAGTCGACGATCGTCGCGTCCACTCGGCACCGACTGATGGCTGCGGGCACGGGGAGGGCGATTCGGTGATCTCGGTTGGAGGCCATCGCTACTAGGAGCATGGACGCTACTAGTTTGGAGGCCATCGCTAGTAGGTTGGAGGCCATGTCGGGTTTCCAAAGTCTCGATTCTCCGTGCTGGAGGCGGAGAATCGACTTCTGAATGTTCTTTAGTTCCATCCACAATGTCTGTTCGCCTTCAGGTCAGGAAGCAATGAGGTGTCGTGGAGGGGACTACCTGACTGACCCATCTGGCAGTTCGCAAAACACACCAATGACCCACAAGAACAAGCTAATATAGATCGATTTATTAACAATTCGATTTCATATAGCACTAATAACTCATTTTCTGTTTTAAATGATGATACAACATGATACATCAGGATACATCTTCCCCCTAAAAACCGCCGTTCTCGTTCCTCTGGGACGTCCAACACGTCCGACCGTGGCACCCGGGTGTTGCACCTCGGTCAGCTCAACCATCGCTCGCGCCGGGCCTCAAGGGGCACGCTGACACGTGGAGAGGAGCCACGTGGAGGTCGGAAACCATTGAACACCAAACTTGTGAAGCATTGTCGGAGGCCATCGCCTCTTAACAAACATTCTTCCAACAATTCACTCCAAGAGTTTGTTGATGTTTGCTATGGGTCTCTTGTGGCGAGAGGATCAAGCGCTCATCAAGCCTCTCTCTCTGTCTTCGGCCCTGGGCAGCCAACGGCTTTTACACCAAACGCCCAACCGGCACACCGAAAGAGTTTCAGTGGCATGCCTTTGGTGTCTCTGATGCCTTTTTCATCCTATTTGGTGTCAAATGATGTGCTCCCCCAAAACGGGGCAGAAAGGTTTGTCGTTGCAGGACATATATGTTGGGTCTATCCTAATACCTGTAACAGTGGATGATAATGGTTAGCAAAGGCCTTGTTCAATAATAGTAATAATTGTTTACTGACTGGAAATAGGACAGACCCAACCTGCATGTTTAGGGGTCAGCCGTGTCTCGCAGGATTGGACACAACAAGTCCTGATGAAAGAAAATAATCCTGGGAGTCTGAGAGTTACTAGAAAGCTTTATTGTTGCTAGTAGCGATGGCCTCCAACCTAATAGCGATGGCCTCCACCTAAGGACCTAGAAGCTTCTAGTTAATTAAGGTGATCCTGGGATAAGATCAGGATATGAAGTCTTTTGTGGGATAGGATCAATGGAATATGAAAGATCTGCGATCCTTTTGTGGTATCATCCGCCAACCTCATTGTCTCGCAGGATTGCAGTTTTGGCATGTTTTGATTCATAAAGAGTGAATGGAAAGCGGCCCAAACGACTTACCCCAAACCCATCACGAGGCACCCCACCCAACCCGCGAGCAGCGGGCGGCTACCACCCAACCTGCCCCAACATGATGGAATCCATCTGCAATTCATCCCATCCGCTGGGCTTTTGTGTTTGATGAGAGGAAAGGCAAAGGAAAAAAGGACAAGCCCCTTCTTTTGCAACAGGGTTTCGTCCAACAATCTCAACAAAGAACGTTTCATTTCAATCCCTTCTTTCGTATGCTGGACTGTCTCACCCACCGAAGTCCTTCAGTATTCACTTCCATAATTCTCACCTGATCTGTGCCAAGTTGATGGTGGTACCTTGGGCCAAGGATGCCACTGGAGTTGGACTCGGCTTTTTGTTAACCGAAAGAAGATCGTTCCTGGCCCATGGGGCCCCACGGGCTATTGGGTCATTTTAGGTCTAGTAGCTTCCTTGCTCCGTTCGTAGCATCCTTGCTACTAGTAGTAAGGCCAGGAGCCCTAGTAGCTTCTTGTTCCTAGTAGCGATGCCAGGAGCCCCTAATAGCATCCTTGCTCCTAGGATCCAAATTCAAAAGGGATTGATCATGCAGAATTCTGGATTGACCATTGACGCTTTCAGGGATCGACTTCTCAATCAACTGTGGCACTGCAGGTTTCGATGAAAGGCTTCCTGTGAAGGAACTTCTCCTCCTCCGAGATTGCCCCGCCAGTCAACCCAGTGCTCTCTACTGTTGGAAGAGAAAACACAACCTGTCTTTGACTCAACACACTAGACTTAACATTTCACACTGAACACTTAACACACAACCCACACTCTAACTTCACACGCGGTGAAAACTGCTTTCGGGCCACTCGTGGTCTAGTTTTTCTTCGTTCCCTATCATTTTTCCTTCGTCCGTCGACTTCGAGGCAGTCATGTCGACTTCAAGGTCCCGAACGTGCTTGCCGCGCAACCTGGCGTTTTCACGGGCCAGGCTGCCTGTGGGTGGACCATGGTGGACTATAACATTTTTGAGCTAGTGTGTGAAATCATTTACCTTCAGAAAACGTTGATCCAAACAGCCGGCCCCAGTGAAGATTTGCAAGGTGAAAGGTTTTAAACGTGATGCTTCTTGCAGATTTGTTGGTGGCCCTTGAGGTGTTCTCATTGGTGACGGGTGGATCTGGGTGCGTAGTGTATGCCCGGCCTCTGGAGTGGCGTAGCGTATGAAGGCCTCAGCTGGAGTCCAACTTGAGGGTTTCAGTGGAGCATCCAAGCCGGAAGGCGTTTCCCCCAATACAGCACGAGAAGTCCCGGAAAATGTGCCATCTAAGTATGGGGGGTTTGGGGGCCGATGCCTCTTCCTAACAAGACACAGTATTGGGCGATCAGAATGACAGGAAATGTGGTGGTTTGTGCTTGCAGTTGCTGCGGTTGAGACATCTATTTTTGGAATGTCCCAGTAGGCGTGGCCCAGGCACGCAATAAAACAAACCTGGCATCTCACGGCGTCTCAGAGTATGGTTTAAACTGAACAGTTCTCTCCGCCAAGGTCTTTTTACATGTAAAAAAGTGCGTGGTAGGTTGGAGGCCATCGCCAGTAGGTTGGATGCAAAGAAAAAATTGTTGTTGAAGAAAAGCAAGAAGTGGTAGAACGGCTTGGCTCACCTCTCAACATGAGTTTCTTTTGCGCAGCGTGGTGATCGCGCTGCAAATGTATCAAGCTTGGGGGCTGAGGCCAAGGCCAACCATATCTAGTTCCCCAAAGTTTGCCTTACACTAGATTTTCTTTAGATAGGGCGTTTGATTTAGAGATAAACCCCAGCTATAGATCCATGGTTCTTTTGATCCCTGGCTTTACCTCTCGGGCCCTGAGCGAAGAGCTCTTTACAAACTTGCCAACTACACCTTGTCTGATGCCAACGGTGCATACAAGGATGCCTGGTGCCGGAAAAGGTTGTGGAAGCTCGCAAAGCCAAGGCAAAAAATGCCTTTAAGCACCCACAAACCCCGCGCGTTTCTTGGAACAACTATTTCGTCGCTTCTGTCGGGGTCACTAATAGGATTGTCAGGTTTCAGTTTTTTTGCTTTTCAACTTTATGGTGGGGTAAGGCTGACTCAATGAGTGCCTCGTTCCAATTGATTTAACGGCGGCCATGTGAACTTTACGGCTTTGCGGACCAATAAGCGCACTACCGCGGGAACGCCCCTACGGAGAACTCAAATCCTTCCAATGAGATCGGGGAAGAGGCGTAGGTCCTAACAAACCTTTCGTGGAAGGTGCTCTGGCTAGCGCTAGTAGGTTGGAGGCCATTGCTCTTAGGTTGGAGGCAGTCGCTAGTCGGTTGGAGGCCATTGCTCTTAGGTTGGAGGCCATTGCTCTTAGGTTGGAGGCAGTCGCTAGTAGGTCG